TATATATATATATATATATATATATATATATATATATATATATATATATATATATATATATATATATATATAAATACCTTGCTATGTGTACTGCGTAAGGCTAACCGAGACTTGTCATCTGCACTTATATATTGTTGCTCTTTTGTTAGTTTTGACTGCTTTTATTGTTCTCATTTGTAAGTCGTTTTGGATAAAAGCGTCTGCTAAATGACTAAATGTAAATGTAGATTAAGCAGACATAAAAACAATTCAAAGTGTGTAAAATCATACCTATTCTCTGGATCATCGTCATCATCCACCACCTGGGAGGATTCAGCCTTCAATTCAATTTCATCACCTTCATAAACAAGAAGAAAAAACTTATAAGCCGTGAAATTCAATCAATTTTACCCCAAACGCTAGTTTATACAACACTGATGATGAACCTAATGATCTAAGACACTCAGTGTTCAGTAGAGCCGCCCACAATAGTCTTCTTTCTTTTCCCAAATCTTCACTCACATCTCAAGAATGGCAAAGAAAACACTCAGTGGACCAAATTTTAATTAGTCGGTTTGTTGCAGGGAAAAAAAAAAACAAACAAAGACAAAAACACTCCATAGGATATAGAGAAGTCACACAGTCTGTAACGGTCACATTGTTATCACCACTGCTACACAGTTATTTATTAGTTTTTCTATAATGTAGCCTATGGTAGGGCTGTGCCATTCATTCTGACAACTGCCCCAGGTCGAGCAGTACAATTAAATTTTTTTTTTTGCAAATGCCGTTTTAGGTTAATATTATGACACTGAATTAGTACAAAGTTTTGTTTACAAAAGAAATAATAGGTTAGCAATTAAGTGTTACATCACAAGCATGGAAACATCTGGATTTGTGTCAAATGAGGGTACATGAGAGTAAATGTAAGCCATATAAAGGCGATCTGGAAACCCTATTTTCCGCAAATTTATTCCACGAGTTATTCCACTGCACATGGAATCGCTTCTTTCTTTTCCCAAATCTTCACTCACATCTCTCTCATAGTTGCACGGGATTATAATCATTTCTTCCTTTCGTTCACTTTGAATTACTATATTTGCATCCTTTGCAGTAGTAAAGCATAAAAACGTTGTAGGACAGATACTTTTTACTTGAATATCAATTTCTGACTTGCATGTCAAATTCTATTTATTTAACATGTCAACTTGCATGGAAAATTCTATTTAACACGGCAAATTCTATTTAACATTCCATTTTCTTCTTGTTAGACTTTGGTAAGGCACGTCATGTTGTATAGCGCATTTCACACTTGCCAATAATTTCGTTTTGCTTTCTCTGGAAGTGCAATATCAAATATAGCTTTCATTTCTTGCAGAAGATAAATTTGCTTTTCTGACCTGAAAGCGCAGAGCGGCAGATAAGATGCCAATATGATTGAATTGATATCATAAATGAGTGCTTAATCCACTAATGGCTTTAACGAACGACTAACAGTAGATTAGGACAAACTTTGGTCAATGGTAGCCCTATTGTTCAGTGTATTATATAATTACATTATATTCCAGCTGTTAATGTACACTTTTTTTTCTCGAGCTAGTCTACTCTATATTAGTTTTTTTTACTGTAATAGAGTTTTTACTATTCTATATTACAGTGACTATGTCTTCTATCCAAAAATGGATCCATCTTAAGTACTCAGTGTGTAGCAATACATGGACTAATGTCTCCGTTCAGTGATCTTTGTGTCTAGGTCTGTTTCACTTCACATATACAGTGGGGAAAATATTTATTTGATCCCCTGCTGATTTTGTAAATTTGCCCACTTACAAAGAAATGAAGAGTCTGTAATTTTTATGGTAGGTTTATTTGAACAGATAGAGACAAAATGCCAACCAAAAAATCCAGAAAAAAAAAAACACATTATATAAAGGTTAGAAATTGATTTGCATTTCAGTGAGTGTAATACGTATTTGATCCCCTACCAACCAGCAAGAATTCTGGCTCCCACAGATTGGTTATGTGCCCATGTGGAACACAGATTAGTCCTGTCACTTTAAGAAGTTACTCCTAATGTCAGCTTGTAAGGTGTATAAAAGACACGTGTCCACACAATCTGTATCTTTCATTCCAACCTTTCCCACCACCATGAGCAAGACCAAAGAGCTGTCAAAGGATGTCAGAGACAAGATTGTAGATCTGCACAAGGCTGGAATGGGCTACAAGACCATCAGCAAGAAGCTTGGGGAGAAGTAGACAACTGTTGGTGCGATTATTCGGAAATGGAAGAAATTTTAAAATAACATCACTGAATAACCTCAGTCTGGAGCTTCGTGCAAGATCTCGCCTCATGGGGTAAGGATGATCATGAGAAAGGTG